CATCATCCGAGCGAAACGGTAGCTGTCGTTTCAGTGCTTTGCCTGGCAAAGACGGTACAACAATCTAGAACACACAGAGATAATAAATGACGCAAAATCATGGCCTACGGTTTTCAAAAAAATTCCACAGCGCTGCCGTGCAAAACCGTATAATTATAATTGCGAAAGAGGATTCGGTCGGGAAAAGGCAGCTCAAAGGACACAAGCATACCTTACTGTCACGCTCTAGTTCACATCGTAGCCACTCGAAATCAGAATAACGACGGCGCACACTCGATTCTTTGTTCTTAAACACAGGCAAATTCGTCTGAAACAAAACAAAATGTTCTTGAAAAGTACCAAAAATTACAGATTTCAGGCTAGAAGAACCTTCCGACTATCAATGCGAAATTCTTAAAGTTACCAAAACGCATGCCGAGCGCGCAGCTACGCTAGACTGTTGTCCCACGCTGGATATGTACAGCGTAAAAGATAAAAAACGCTTTAGAGAATTTGCGCCGCTAATTTTGCAAAAAATTCGGGAAGTTCGGAGATTTCTTGATCCTTGAAAACAAACAAGCAACCAGCTTGGATCGTGTAAAACTCCATGAAGTCTCATACCAGCCAAAAAAAAAGAAAATTTTTTTAGAAAAGAAAACTGTTAAAAATAAAAATGTCATATAAAAACAATGATTTTTAATCGAGAAAAACCAGTGAAAGTAATTGACAAAATTATTTAAAAACGAAAAATTTCACGGTCAAAATTTACTCGTAGTCTAATTTCATAGTCAGTGTAGCGTGTTTTTCCAACTCCATGTGTGATGGGATTGATCACTTCAATTTCCAGGAAATTTGCCGGTGGCGCATATGCCTCATCCAGGGTTTGTCGTTTCGGTGCCAGACGTTGTGTCACCGCCGCGGCGCTGGTGCTCATCCTGAAAAAAAAAATTCAACAAAAACTGATACTAATTACATCGAATGCTTACAGTGTGTTGGGTGGAGCACAATTAAGACAATGCATAAAGTGTGAGTCAGCGAAATTTGCGCGGTAATCTTAGCCCGAGAAATTTTCAACCGTCACACTGACGAGTTGCCCAGTTGCAGCACTGAATAGGAATGTATGCGACTTGATGGAC